CCCTAATGAAAATCCTGGCTCCGCCACCGATGACGAATACGATCTCTTCACTCTGTAACGAAAATGTATCAGTTGGAGATAGGAGTGGCAAACGGGCGGGTCGGATCGGATATGGTTCGGGTTGAAAACGGTAATGAAAAAATAGATAAATTATCCGAACCGACCCATATTTAATACGGATAAAAAAGGGTTAACCGGCAGATAATATGTGTAACCTTATTATCCATAACTTCTTGCATATGATCACTTTTGGGAGAATTCTTAGTCTTCTAACTTGAGGAACCCCCAATTTGAGGCTTTACAAATGTAAAAGTTAGACTCATTGGTTATACATTAGTTACCCATTGGTTATCTATTTTCTAAATGGATAATATGGTTCTTATCCATATTTAATCCGTTTTTAAAAAATTCATTATCTAACCCATTTTTTAGGGAATAATATGAATGGTTAATTATGTTTTTAACCATTTTGCCACCTCTACCTCTAGTTGGAGACCTGAAATGAAAAAATCTTAATAGAAAATACTTTTCTCTTCTAAGCATTATGCGGCACAAATATGAATTAATTGGGACCTAAAGCAACTATCACACACTTGGTAGAAATAAAAAAAAGAAAAGAAAAGTTGGAAGAATAAAATGAGTAATTTGGGAAAAAGAATTATTATGACAACATAAAATAAAACTGTGACACTGTTTAAATATTTTGTCCTCAAGATATAGTCCTTATAAAAAACTTTTTACGGCAGAGAATCTTTGCAGAGAGAGAAACTCATAAACCACTCTATTATTCCATTCCTCTTTAATTACCCCCATATTTATCTCCTCTTTCTCCCTTTTCTTCTTCTCTACAAAAAGGTCTCATACAATTCATCATCACTAGAAACGTTACTACAATGGAAATCCAACAAATTGTTCTCAAGTTCAAATTTCACATCTTATTTGCATCTATTTTTTCTATTTTCATCATTATTCTCATTTATCTTGCACCTCGTTTTATCGATGTTATTAAGTACTTTTGGCCTCTCTTACTCTCCACTGCTCTTTTCCTTGTCGCCGTCGTTCTCTTTGGACGGATTGCTCCGCCGGTTGCTGAGGCTGAGAAACCGGGTGAAGATATATTGGATTTCGTGGCGGGTCAACCCGATGAATTACAACCTCAGCTACATGAATTACATGAACATGGAGAAGAAGAAGAAGGTGAAAGCAGTACTAGTAAAGTAGAGTGAAGGGAATTTAATTAGTGGTTATTTCTGCAATTTTTATTATTTTAGACACTTTTTTGGATCTGTTTTTCTTCTTCTTTATCCTCGATCTCCATAATGAAATTGACAGGCGGTGAATTGTGTATATTCTTCCGAATAATGTTCCAACTTGCATTATTGGAGTAGCATTTTATATTGAAGTTATAGCGGGTGCGACTCCATTAATTATACATACTGCAACTCTCTTGTAGTAGTACTTCTAATCTAACGAAAATTTTCACCTCTGGTTTATATTGAAAAAAGGGAGGCGAAATTTCGATTATATTAACCCTTTCGTGAACCAAAATATGGGAAGATGAATGAGAATGAAACTGTCCCGTCAATAAAGTAAGGCTTTTCAATATTCTTTATTTCTGGTCGGCTGGAAAGGAGAATAAGCAGTGTACTGAAATCTTCATGATAACACCCCATCTGATGTAATGACAGGGTCTTCCCCTCGCCCAGAAGTTATGTATAAATCGCGTGATTTTATTTTGTGCCTCACACAACTTACACTAGTTGTGTGAAACACAAAATAAAATTTTTCGTATAAATCGAACTTTGAGAATGTAGAACTTCTTAGTAATGAGTATTTGATCAGTAAATCTAACTGTGAGAACGTAAAACTTCATAGTAGTGAGTATTTTTTTCTTAATGATTGCATCCAATATGAATATGAATTCGAATTAGTTGAGTCAATAAATTTTGAGTATCGCATAATTAAAAAAACAATTTATGATTGAAGTTTGCTTCTCCAAACTTAGAATTGAGGAGATTTAGTGACTATCCCTCTAACTATCCAAAGCAATTTTAGAGTAGTAGGATTGAACGTCTATTTATCTATCTATCTATCTCGTGACTTCACATCCCTCGTATCCAAAAAAAAAAAAGAAATTGTAAAAAGTAAACAAAAGGTAACAAATCGTTTTCATTAGTTTGTTCAATCTCGAAAATGTTACTGCTTTAGATTGAATTGTGCGGCTTACGGTGAACGCACTACAGGCAAATCAGGAAAAAGAAAAGCGAGAAAGTCATAAGGACTCACCTAATCTCCATAATGAGATAAAAGCAATTGTTATACATTTTAGTGAACAAAAACTTTTTTTATTTTTAAAAACTATTTCACCAGCTAAATAGAATATAGATTATGATCAAATTATATTGTTATTAAATTGCTCAGTGCCTGGACAAAACCATCGGTAAACTCCCTTCTCTTTATATTTGAATAGTTAATACTGGTAGACTAGTACTACCCTTTAGATTGAATATTGTTTTGCGTGTTATGGTACTTCATTTTATAAAATGTGACTTTCCTAACTGCAGATTCACTGTCGGTAACTTTAGTTAGTTAGTTAACCTAGTGAAACCAGTGAATGCAACAAATTTACCTCAAAAAGAAAGACCGGATTGCCTATTTTTAGATATCCGCATCCGTATATAACGAGGGGGTGGCATATGTATACGGCCAAAATCAGGCATGAAATCGGATCGAGGCCACGTATGACCAACCTCGAAATAATACCGTTATGGTTTCATAACAGAAAGAGCGAAATTCTTGCAGTGGCCCTAAGATCACAGCGTAAATTCCGGAACAGATTTGTACTAGGCGGTTAGACAGCTGTATAATAAGATTCCTACTATAATTAGAAGTGTACCTTATTTAGGATTCCCTACTATATAAAGGGGACCCTAATCTTTTGTAACGCATCAATCATTGACAAGAGAATATACATACATCACTTTCTTGCTTATTGCTCATCTGAATGTCATTGTTATTATTTTATTGTTCTTATTCACCTACCTCGAGGTTGCCATAGCTCGAGGTCGAGACTTGCTTACATACTGGTTTGACTTGTCTTACTCTTTAATTTATACACTTGATTCCTTGTTTATCGGTTAGTATTGGACTAAATCACATATCTTTAAAACCACAATACAAATTTAATTGTTACTCGGATTTTAGGGTAAACAATATATTTGTTGCGTTTTTTTTTTCTTTTTTCGCTTTCTTTTCAAATATATCTTGGGTGAACCGAATTTCAGAACAATTGTAAAAATTATTATCGTGTAATCAAAGTTCAAGTCACAAAAACAATATCTTGCATAGATAGATCAATGTGATTCCACCCTTTTTCTAAACTCCACTTAATTAATAAATTGAGCTTTCTTTTGATTGGTCCTATGTAACTACCATCAATCTTAGAAAAAAAGAAAAGAATAGGAAAACAACAATATTAGCATTATGGTTGGATTTCTAATGTGAATTACTGACCACCGACCATTTTCGTTTGTCCTCTGAAAGACAAAAACTAGTGGGTTCACCTAATTTGTCTTGATACTAAACACCTAACGGTACTGTATCAGTTGCTAAGTTCCGATCCTACGCAGTAGTAAAGGATTCCATTTAAAATGGGCTGGCTCCACCATCCCACTTATTAAGAGATGGACTTTCAAACCTTAGTACGATCGGTCCGTAAACTTGACACTGCTAAAAATTTCTGTTACCGACAAACCGCACCATACGATAATTCGAGTCAAATCGAGAAAAAAAAAAAAAGACTATGGTTTGGTATTGAAAAAAAAATCTGACCATAATTAGTTTGGTTTGATTTTAACTAAAGAAAGTCAAACCGAAACCAAACCAATCAGACATACATATATAAAAATTTTAGATATATTTATTTTAATATATAAATATATTTATTGTGATGTAATTTATAGATATTTCTTAAGCTTTTTCATAATTTTATCTTTTAAGGTATTATTTCAAGGTTGGACTTAGAACTTTTGAATGTTCCAATAAGTTTTATAGCCATTAATATTAGTAACTTAAACAATGCTAACAAAAGCCAAAACCAAAATCAAATCAATACTAATGCTTACAAAAGACATTCAATTCAATACTACGAACGACAATGTATTGAATATCTATTTTTTGTTTTGCAATAATTTAGATAAAATTGCATAACCTATTTTATTTTTTCTTTAGCCTTTAGTCATGTAATTAATACTCCCTTATTAGTCTACATATTTTAGCATGACTTAGTACTTTTAGATTATGTTTATTTTTATTGTGGCTTTTTAATTAGCAATATTTATATTACATAATTTTGTTGTCTTTGTTGTTGAATATTTTAGGATAATGCCATGACACATCTCATATTGTGTATTATTTTCTTGAAAAATACCTTATATAGTTGTATCTTTACTAGGATTAAAGAACTATTTTAAGCACAAGTTATATATTTTGTGCTACGAAGATTTTACTGGAAAAAAAATCGAAAAAACCGGAATAACCCAAAAACTCGAGAAAAACCGAGATTGAAAAACCCGAGTTTTTTGATTTGGTTTGGTCATTAGATTTAATAATCCGACACAATTGGTTTGGTTTGGTAATTGCAAAACTCCGAACCAACCCGACCTATGTACCCCTAATAATCTCTTTCAACCTCAGTGTCGGACTAGGGCCCACAATGGCACACTTTCGGCCTCCCTAAAATTTCCCTATCTCAATGATAATGAAAATTGATTGAAAATTTGAGAGAAATAAAGTCTTGCAAATGATGGAACGCTTAAACTCGACCAATCCTACCACCCTTAATCAAAGGTCTGAGATTTCTAGTATGGAAGACTTTCCACTTAAATGGGTCTACGTACCACGACTGTATTAATCGAGCTAATTTTGGATACTATATGGTTTTAAAAAATAAAAAAAGAATTAGTTACATCTCGAATAGGAAAATCCGGCATCAATAAGTGTGCAGTAGAAATCAGATGGCTTTCGCGTTACACGAGAGGAAAAAAAGTTAACAAACTTTAAGGAAAAATTACAGCAAACATTTTACAAACTATAAGGAGGAACTATAGCTAACTTTTTACAAACTTTAAGGAGGATCTATCTTTGGGATACAGTAACCAACTAAATTGTGTAAAGTACAAGGCATTTACATGTGTACAAAGGGAATTGAGAAGATTAGATGGAGATTCTGGGAAGTGTGAATTTCACTCTAGTACTAAACTGAGTAGGATTTACTGCATCACTTTTGTCAGACACTCAGAAATATATAATGTTTTTAAATCTGTGCAAGTAGTATCTGAATTTGATGTAATACAGTGGAAGTTTCAAAAGAAAACACTCATCCCAGAAATCTCACTGAAGCTGTTAGACTTTGGTGGGAAGTTTGCTTAGTACACTAATTTAGGTCGCGGGGCGATCACCTTCCTGGTCCAAGAGGATTGGGCAAGTATCAGATCTGCGGTTGATAAAGTTCCAGATTGATCAACATCAAGACTTTCAAACTCCTTCAATACAGCTGCAATGTCATGTTGGTTGATCTTCCCCATCTCCTTAAGTTTATAGATAACAAATTCAGCAGCCCTTGGGAATTCACAAACAAAAGGAAGATCAGAACTATTTGAATTTTGAAATACACTTCGAGATTACAATGAGAAAAAAGAAAATTACATGCTAGGATCGAGAGCTCAGACAGTGCGAATTTAAACCAAAAAAAACAACAACGAGTCACAAGATTTAAGAGCTTCGATCAACTTGACCTACGTCCACAGACAAGAAGTACAGTTTACCACACCCAAAGTGCCCAAGGAGAGAACAAAATTAGAGTAAATACTCTAATCAAGTGAATCAAGAAGGGTCTTTGCGAGCTAATTATAGGAACAGGCTATAAAGTTAAATGAACTTACCCTACAACCCCATCATCATCAAGATCAGCTTCCTCCAAATCAACATTTGTCGTCCTTCTTGAAAGAACACACTTCACTAGCTCCTTCTGTCTCTTTTCCGTGTTAAATTCAGCAACATAAAGGAAGAACTGACCCAAACAAATGGTGCTTGACAAAATCCAAAATATAGCAAATATACGCCCTGCTTTAGTTGAAAAGCTTTTGTCTCCATATCCTAATGTTGTAATGGTAGAACAGACACAATAAAAGGCATCTAAGGTATCTAGCCGTTCAACTCTAGCCAGGAACAGTGTCCCAGCAACTACGAGCACTAAAAGGAAGCCCGCTACCGTGAAGCACTTGTACCTTACTTTGTTTGTTTCAATCTCCTCCAATATTTCACTTGGACCAACTTTATGACGCATATGCAGTGCTTTGATTAACAGTGTTTCTTGCTTCTCCAATAAGTAGTCTGCTCCTTTGCTTAGAATCATTCCAACAAGTGCCATCCCAGAGAACACCAAGACACAAGCGAGTAGTTTAGTAGTTGCACTGTCAGGCACAATATCCCCATATCCAACCGTGGTCATTGTCACAACACAAAAGTAAACAGAATCAAGAACCCCATCTATTTTCTTTCCCTTGATCTTGTTTCTAACCAAATAAAAGCAAATGGTACCAATACCCAAGTATATAACCAAGTAAATAATAACTTTCTTAATACTAGGGTGGAGTTTATCCAAAAGCGATTTAGAACGTGGAAGTGATTGGTCATTTTTTATTTCATTCATTTCTACAGGAGCAAATTCGCCCAGAGGAGCACTTTTACATCGGCGAAATCTTTTTTTCTTAGGATCAACCGTATGATGTGTCTGATGCAGTTGATCCAACAAGGGCTGGATTTTGTCTCTGTTAGTCATTCCAGCAAGCCTGTAGTGATTTAAGAAATCCTGCAAGAAATTGTGGCTGCTTAAGAGTGTGGAAGTCCTTTAATTTCGTAAATCATAACTGATATGTAAATTCTTTTTCTTAGCCAGAGAGACTCGTCTTCAAATACCAAAACACTAACAAAGACAGTTTTCTCATGTTTTTCAAATGCAAACAGTACCTTGCCTGTCAATTATTAGAGTAGTTCTTATTCTATGATGCATCTAGAATCTAAATGCATGCCACATGCCAAGTAAAGAATTTGCTAGCATCACATTTTCTGCAAAAAGATTGGCCTTTGTATTGACTCGCAAACTACCATATTGCAAGTTTGCAACTTACACTTGGCATCCTGAGGCGAATGATAATAGCAGGTGCAAGATTCTCGTGGATGCTCTGGATACATTGGATTTATAAGTTGGGTCTTCCTAGTTGCCACATCATATATAAGCTCAGGACACCTTATCGCTAAACTAGGTAGTGGAGGCAGATTGTTCTAGTTGAAGGAAACATTGATCAGGTATACAAAGTTAAGCATTTTCTTAATGGTCACATGTTTCTTCTTGCCCCCAACATATGAAGTCTCAACTACAACTGAAAGAACTCTACGTGATTTTCCTGATCTAGCCAAGGGGTTCCTGATCATATGGAACTAACCTGTCAAACATTTGGGAGTTATCACCTAAATTAGGTTCTCATCGTTCAGATTTAAGTGATCAAAGATGGCACTAACCTAGTAGCTGAAAAATAATGAAGCTACTTCGTGCTGCAAGGCTTTTCCTTTTAAGCTACTTTCCTTTACTTCCCCCCTACCAGTAAATCATCATACAGAAACAGATTCTGAAGGAAATTAGTGTTTGAAGAACTTCAAGTACCATACAATTTTGGCCAAGGTTAAGCTAAATTCCAACAGGTGGGGTTAACAATTATAGGAGCATTTTGGACATGGGTTCATACTCATCGATGAATAGAGTTAGGATTTTGGGTAGTGGCTGCTGAGAAAATCCTCTTAACCTAGGTTGCTAGTCACATAGAGTGAAGATGCATGATACCGCTGATTTCTCTTGATTATTGACAAAGTTCTGCCCAGTAAGAACACAAGCATGGACTTGATTAGTCTCTCTTATAACTCACCTAGACACAAATAATGAAATGCATTTAGATTAGGTATCTAAATGCATATTGTATGTAATCAAGTCTCGCATTGATGAAAAAAACATTATACATATAATCCAAGTGGTCACTGTATGAAGTAGGACTCATCTTGTCTGAGACATACACTATGCATTTCATTCTGTTATTAGCATGTCAGTAGAACTAAAATCATGGGGTTCCTTCGGCAATATTAGTTTTTTCTCTCGGATGCAAGAGATTGAGTTTGATTCCTTTATATCTCTCATCCCTTCTACTACATTGTGTTGGACACGTGCTAATCATATCTGCAAAATGATTTGTCGCTTGTAGAATCAAGCGCTCTTGCTTCCAACGCCAGAGTAAGAGAAATAACCTATATGTCCTGGATTGACAAACTTGTTCTTGCAACTACAACATAAAATTGGTAACTACAACGAGTCCAAAATGCTTTCAAAAGCGAGTATACCTTTCAGGACCTCTTGAAGTTGGTCCAATTCTCTACGTGAGACTTAAATAGATAAGCATTCCAGTAAAATTCTACGGTCACAACCCATTGTTTTCTTCCATATTCTTACTATAATCATTGAAAGAAAATTACATCCAGCTAGGGGTGTCAAATGTGCCGGTCGAGCTGATTTTGGGCGGGTCAAAATGGTCTGAGTCAATAAATGGGCGGGTCAATACTTTTGGGCTGAGATGGGTTGGGTCAAGTTGGGCTAATATTTGGATCATAGCCCATCCCGCCCAACTCTTACCAAGTTCTAATTAATGTGTATCATCAGTTGTTTAATTATCAAATAAGACTTTTTTTCTTTTGTTATGGTCATATAATATAACATATCAAACAAAAAAAATATTATTTTTAAAGATATTTTAGCAAAGTTACTAGTGGATCAAAATGGACTCTCAACTTTAAATGAGTTGAGTTCAACCAATGGGCAGGTCAATGACCAGCCCAACTTTGGGAGGGTTGGGCGGGTCAAATGAGTCTGGGCTCAAATTGCCACCCCTACATCCAGCCGAAACCGCCAACATGGAATAGTAATTAAAGATAAAAGTAGCTTTTCTTGGCCAAATTGGTAATTCAACCACCAAAATTGCTAAATAACTAAAATTCAAACTCTATAGAGGCTGAATAAGCTAACTTACCAAACAGGACAAAAATTCACTCTAACTCCCCCAGCTGCTCCAGCCCACCACTGCTGCCGCTAAATCGCAAATTGCCATGTTTTCTATATTTTGTATGAATATTTAGGTTGGCTTCCTACAAATTTATATAACGAAAGACAGAGCTTAGACAATTTAATTGTAATCCAATTACCAGAAAAAAAGTAAGTTGTTTCGGTCCTTTCTGTGGGGGAATTGGTGGAGGAGCTCGAATCTTGTTTGACAACAAGAGCTACTTGGCATGGAGGCGTGAAGACAGGTCTTACACTTGCTACCATAAATTGGAGTTTTAAATTCCAGGCTTTCCCCTTTCTTCCTATCAAATTGTTATCACTTTCAGCTTCTTGTAGGGCCTGTCGTCATTTGGCGTTTACATGTTTTTTCCTACCATGGAGGTGACGGTTCTAATCCACATTATATTATATTGTATCCTATCGTTTTATAAAGATAATATTTGGATAGATTATATTATTTGTTATTGTTAAATAACTTTTTGCTATTTAATTTGACTATACTGTACTATAACTGATAAGTTTATTAAAATACTCTCAATTAAATAAATTTATCAAAAATTATGCATAAAAATAATTTTCAAAAACAAAACAGAAGAAGAAAGCAAAATACCTTAAGAAAGCAAAACAAAGGAGTGAGATAGAAGAAGGCAAAACAAAGGAGCACATCTAATTAGAATTGAGTTAAGAGCAAATTAAGAAAAAAATAAAACAGAAGGCGGCAAAACACCTTTAACGTTGGCGGCACAAGTTCTGAAAAAAAATAAAGTAGGTTATAGGTTGGAGATTTGGAGTTAAAATAGCAAAAGAAAAAGCTAAAGGATAAAATATAATTGTGGAGTAATAAGTTAGGGCATAATTGAAAAGAAAAATAGGAAACAATCCCACCACACTAAATCGGTTGTTTAAAAAAAGGAGATTTTTATTGTTTCGGAACAATGAATTTAATAATACATACAACTAATTTTAATGAAACAATCAAAACAAATATTATTTTGGAATAACAATACAATAGGATATAATGAAATAACCATCCAAACAAGCTGTTAAGTTTGGGTTAACGCTATAATTTACAAACAAATTGACTACTCTAGAATTGCTCATTTGGCACTAACAAAAATATACTACTATGTTTTCCACGTGTCCAATCTTAATAACAATCGCCACTTGAGTTTTCTTCCCCAATTTCTTTTTGCTTAATGATACTTTTTACTTTTTAAATTTTGCATTGATTCTCTTATTTGATTTTTGTGTGTGTCCTGTGTAACTAGAGTTTAATGAACCATAGGACATTACGTCATTCGGAACCAGAATGCTTAATTTCGGAGGCGCGTTCAAGATTTGAGTTATATGAGTTTAACATTTAAAGATTTTAAAATTGAACTCATTATATTTGTATAAGTATGGGTTCATAGTTATTATTTGTTGTAATTTTTATAAATCTTTACACATAAAATTTGTGCCCCGCATTAAAAGTATTAGATTCAAATGAACCGATAATATAATGCTGCGCAACCCAAAAAGACCATATATGCTTAAAATAGTACTCTCTTTTTTTGTGTCTTAATTTGACTAATTAAAAAATTAAGAACGTAAAGAAAGTGTAATGAATGATAGAATGAGAATGATTAAGAGTAATATAAAAAGTGATTATTTTTTGCAAATAGATTTAAAAGGAACATAAGATGTATGTTGAGTTGTGTTCCACATTGGTGGGTTATGGGTATCTTGGTCTCCTTATGTTATCTTGGGCAATCCTCACCTCACAAGCTACCTTTTGGGTTGAGTTAGGCCTAATGTCCATTATTATCATGATATCAGAGTCACACCCATCCCAATTTATTGTTACCGATGTTGGACCCTATTTATATTGTCCATGCTCTAATTACAGTCCTGGGCGTGAGGGGTGTTGAGTTGTATTCCACATATAAGTATCCTGGTCTACTTAAATTGAAATGGAGTGAGTCGTTTCTTAAATAGGACTTTTATTTGAGAAAATCTCACTTTATACCCATTAATTCCAAACTATTTACCCTTTAATACCCAGACCCAAACTATTTACTACTGCTACCCATGCTCCCCAAACTATTTACGCGCATTTCTTCTTCCTCCTCCTCATTTTACCTTCCTCACTTTATACCCATCGTATTTTTTCCTTCCAAACTTTATACAAGGATCTGGTGAAGCCCAGGTGCAAACTTTTTCCTTCCAAACTTTTCCTTCCAAACTTTTTCCTTCCTATATAAAAAATAATCCTTGTAAAGCCATCACCAGATGCAAGTCTTGAAGATTGTTGGGCTTCACCAGATCCTTGTATAAAGTTTGGAAGGTAAACATCATTTTTTTCCTATATAAAGACTTTCATCTGGCCATCACCTTTAATATCCACCATTGTTGGGCTTGAAAAACAATTTTATTTTTGAAGATTTTTTGTTTGATTCAAAGTGGGTGCTATTAAATATTGCTTATAGTACCTTCTGGAAGTTCATACTGGAATTTGATAGCATTTGGAGCTGATTTGAGGTGATTGAGATCGAAATTTTCAGTTGAAAATCGAAGAAGAACATAGCTACAGTATACCGCTACGGTATACAATATGCTGTAGGAGTATATAGCTATACTGCAACAGTATACTATTATAGTATACAATATATTGTTATAGTATACTGTAATAATATGCAATATACTGTAACAATATGTTGTAATAGCATACAATATACTATAATAGTATACTTATTACCCGTAAATTCACTTGCCTTTTCCCTTTTAATTTGCTTTAAGCTTTTACCCAGCGTGAGAGGCAAATAAAAAAAAAAAAAAAAAAAAATTATGGTATGTTATATAATGTAACGGTATACTCTTACAATTAGATCCTTTTAGAATTTTTTGAAATTTTTATTGACAATTACTATTTCAGTTAATAATTGAATTAAACTTTTTTTAACTCTTTGCGTACGATTGTATACCCTGTTGGTATAACTATATACTATACTGCTATCAAATGTTAGTTAATATTTTTTTGGTTGTATTAGCTACATTTAATTGGTACACAATTTGATTTTTCTTTAGTAATAATATAAAAAAAAGAATAATAAAAAATAATGAAAATAGGAAATGAAATTAGATTATGAAGAGAAAAAGAAAATAAAAAAAAAAGAAGTTGAATGAAATTAGAATAGGAAAAAAGAAAAAAATAAGAAGAAAACGAGAAAAAAGAAAAGGAGAAAAGAAAAAGAAAAGAAAAAAGAAACAAGAAAAGAAAAGAAGCATAAAAATAAAAATGAATTGGAGAATAAAGAGAAAACTTACTATGAGTAGGAAATGTAATTAGTTTATGGGTAGAAAAATAAATGGGCAGACAAAGATAAATAGTTTTGTTTTTGTGGATAACTAGTCAAAACCCTTTGAGATTTGATATTTGAATACAAAAGTGTTATTGAGTGACCCGAGCGACCCGAACAACGTGAACTTGCAGAGCGAAGAGAAAATGGAGGGAAAGCGTTCGAACACGCAACCGCTAACACTACTAAGAAAAATCAAAGGTAATGATCAATGTGCTTCCATAAACCTCAAATTTTCCTGAAAATTCATTGCAAAATTCTCGCGTTTCAACAAATTGTTTCTGAACGAATCGTCTTCACGCTTGTGTCATATATACTTTGATATTGTTTTGGAGGATTTACTGGCTCCATTGTCGAGGATCTCGCTCGAGGTAGAGCGCCGACAATCTACATCGATCGTTTCAGAAATTACTGTACTGACGCTTCTGGAAATTGGTATATATTCTTCATTATTTCTAATTTAGCAATTTTTTCTTGAATATATGAAATTAACAATTAAGTTAAGCCTAGCGAAGTGTTTTTTATTTCTTTTTTAGGCGACATAGTTGAGAACAGTGAATATTTGCTGCTGTTTGAAATTTCTTGTCGACTTGGCATTTTAGAATTCCAACACGAAAAATTACACTGAATTGAACTGTTGATCGGTATAGGAACGATCTAACTATTTATGCAGTTGATCCTGCGAATGCGAGTGGATAATGTTAACAACTCTCAGTTTAATTGTCTTTCTCAGAAGAAGAACAAAGATAGTCTATACTGGGAGTTTTTTACAAAGAAGCCATATCCAAATTTTGAGACACTAAGTAGTGACCAGTGTTATCAAAGCGATGAAACAATGCAAAGCAAGGGGTTATCGCTTCACGGGTGAAGCTATGCGCTTCATAGAATTGTGAACTTCAATCAATGACATGCAAAATGATCCCAGCGAGAAGCCATTGGTTATTTGAATGTCAAGTTTGAGGACTTGGATTAATATTATATTTGCATTATTGTATATCAGATACTGAAATTAGTTATTTCAATTGCAATTTGATCATATGGAACTATATTCAATTATTTAAGGTATTTTTAATGTGAGGCATTAGGTGATTTGAAGCGTGAGCTTCACTTCATGCTTCTCGCTTCAAGACATTTTTCCTTTTTCTTTTTGTTGGATTGCTCGCTTTTAATAACACGTTTAGGTACTCTGTCTATTTGATCTATGTGGCACTCTTTCTTATTTAGTATGTTCCAATCTTAATGACATATTTTTGTAGTTGGAAACTCTTTAATTTTTAACTTTTCATTTTACCTGTAATGACATACTCTTACTGTTAGAGAAATATCATGGCATGTTTAAGACCACAAATTCTAAGAGTGCTTTTGGGTATGCGCCAAAAATCTCTTTTTTTTTTCTTTCTTAAACTTTGTGCCTACTAAAATACCGTTACGTAAAATGAAAAGGAGGAAGTAATTGTAATGCTGAATGAAGTCCAAAAACCAAGGCAATTTACTGAAGTTGGAGATTGAATTGCCAATTAATAGCATCCAAGTGTTCTGATAGTAGTCTTTGTTGAATTTATGTAGCTCTTGCAGCTCCGATGGATCGAGTGGCAAAGAATCTATATCATTGAAGAGGGAATGCCATGCACGTAGGATTGGTGAGTCTAGGGAGACTAAATCGTACTCTCATATTTCATCTGACTAGTCATCATGAAATAGTTGGAAAAATAATAATTGAATGAGAAAGGGGCAGGAATGATAATTGAATTTCTTTTTATCCTCTTTGGGAAATGATAAATTAACAGGAGGAGCTGTTTCCTCCTTTTGTTGACTTCTTTCCAAACTTCCGTTTATGGCCTGTCCCTTCCTTGATGTTAATAGGATGTGCAATGGGAGGTAGTCTGAGGTTTCTCGCTCAATTTTCTCTTCTGTTTGGTCGAACAAACTTGAAGGCCTTATTACCCTCCAATTTCCTTAACATCCTAGGACTAAGCCGTGTTACTTACGTCTATATGGTTCTCATTCCAGATGTCTTGTTGAGAGTCCTTTTGATAATTCAGCAACTTCTGCAAGAAAGCAGGCATGGATCAAAGAGAGACATATATTACATGCATCCTACTGTTTTTAAAGGTAATCTGGATTGACTGTTTATGTCTCAGTGACTAATGTTTCAAAAGACAAATCTGGACTGGTCCTTGGTGTTCAAGTGTAGTTACTGCCAATTAATTTCACAGACAATGGCGAGACATTATTTATTTGTAGAATTTATTTTGAAATATTCTTGTGATTGGTTACAAAGTTTTTCTTCTAAGGAAAATGCTCTTATGTACTATGGTAGTTCTGCTTTCTCAGTTGCTAACATGCCATGGTTTAGATCTCTAGTTCAAACTATATATAGTCAAAAGGCATCCTTATATGCTCATCATCACTCTTTTGCACTCTATAATGCAGAACCATCTGTTGTTGATCGAGCAATTAATGACATTTGCATCCTCTTGCAGTGCAGTCGGCATAACCTTAATGTGGTATATCAATTTACTTTCCTTTTTGTATCAAAACAGACTCAATATCAATATATATCCACATATACTTATGTAGACATATAGTATATATAGGTTTTTAGGTCGTCCACTGTTTTAAGTTGGGAAACTATCCATAGGGTGTGTTCACTGTCACTTCTGTTTGTTTTTATTTATACGCTCATTTTTCACTATGGAGGATTCAGTGAGGGTTAAGAATTTTGATTAATAGTGGAAATGGTCGTTCTGATTTACTTTTTAGAAACTTTTGACATGCGAAATGGTAGATCCTCAAGTACCTCAGTGACCATGCAAGCATATAACATTTCTTTCTTTGGGAGGAAAATTTTATTTGATTTTTCTATCACTTGACCCTGCCTTCTCCATAACATGGGGAGTGGGGGTGGGGGTGGGGGGTTCAATAATGTAGTTGATTAGAAGGATGTGTCTACTGTTTGTCGTGAAGAGCTCGAATATTGACTTCAGAGAATGTTGGATATATCTTGACTAGGGTAAACCCAAATTCAAATGATTAGTCTTTTTCTCCTTGTATCGCTAATTCGTGTACAAAACTTGACCATATACTCTTTTGAACCTTGCCTTCTGCAGGTATCTGTTGGAAACGGGTGCGTACCTCTATACAGTTAATCTTGCCATGAAGCAGCGTGCTTCCAGACACGTACAGTTGGGGTTCATTATATGCAATGCTCTTTTTTCATACTCGACATATCACGTTTGCAATCTAACATATCAAATGTTTCTTCGTCAATTGATTATGCTTATAGCTCCTGCATTTGTTTGACTGCCGCCTCATATGTGTCTAAATTCCTCTTCGAGGAGCAAAATTATTTCATGATTGAGATATTTAGCATAGTCTATCATGTTACGATAAGCTTTTATACTATAGCAAAGTAAAATATAATAATCGTGGAGAAAGCATCTCAAGGAGTATTATTGCTTCATCATTTTTGGCCTACTTGTGAAGATTGTAGTAGCATGTTTAGATCTAGTTTCAACTGTTCGCCAGTGAAGTTCTCGATAAATCTACTGCTGTTGCATTTTGCTTGAGACTAAATTTTGTGTTCCTTAAGACTGATATATGGTTGGTTTTCTTCTTTGTTTATATGTTAATAGTTCCTTGCAATTTTCGGTCATAAAGTTCTTTATTCCTTTATGGTCTAGATTGGTGATGGGCTGGCTGCGGTATGTGGAATCTGGGAGAAAAATTGACTGCATTAGCAATCCTAACACTGTAAGAATGATAATTAGAAGTTAAGATGGGTTTCTGTAGTTTATGTAACAATCTAATTATGATGCTTCCTGCAGGCATACCCGATTCCAGTCCATGTGGAAGAGGTTGATGGTATCCTTACAACTATAAGTGTCTGAATTATGAATGCAACATGGTTAAATATGATCTACGAGTTTGTGGACTCCATACATGCGCAAGTCCAGTTATGGGTAAACGTAAAGTTGAATGGATATTTGTTATTGAGTATCTCCTATTATTTTACTTTGTGGATTGCTTGCTCAGACTATGGCTGTCGATTGTTACTCCCTTAATGCTTGAACAAGATATTATTAGTGTTGCTCAATACGTTTTAGTTGTGGAAAAGGAATCAGGTATAACTTTTCATAAGCGGGTCAAGGATATAACAGAATCATGAAAGGTATTCCTAGTTCATAAATGAGGCAACTATTTGCTGTTCATCATGCAGTGTTCCAGCGACTAGCAAATGATCAGTTTGGCAAGAGGAACCGTTGCATTGTGATAACAGTATGCGTCTTTTGTTTTGTGAATTTCCACGCATATTTGGATCCATAATCTTTTTTTTTAACCAGGGAAGGGGTTATCCTGATGTTCCTACAAGGAGGTTAGACCCATGTTGCTCACTTTGTCAGACTTGTTGCAGTTGTTATCCTACTTCAATTAACCATATTTCTGCCTTTTCATATCGCTTGCCTGTGGTAGGTTTCTGCGTCTCCTCGTTGACAAGCTGCATTTGCCTGTGTATTGCCTGGTAGATTGTGATCCATATGGCTTTGACATCTTAACTACATACAAATTCGGTTCTTTGGTGAGGATTATTCATTGTGGTGTTATTATGATGTGAACAAGTTGCTATATTTTCCTCCTTTTCACTTTTATACTGCTGCACTTTCATTTTGTTAATTTGTCCAAATTTTCACTTATCTAAAAGAAAAATCTGGTACATTCTTCACTGTTTCTTTTCAGTGTTCTCCTATCAGAGGCTATCATGCATTCATTCTTACCTTGATAACTTATACCTAATCTATGCAAGACACCTAATTTGAAGTGGATAGAGTATTTAGATAAGATGGATCATTAGAAGGATGTTTACTTGGGTAACTTCTGTCTTTTCTATGCTTTTTGAAGCAAATGGCTTATGATGCAAAGTTTTTACGAGTCTGTGAGATACAATGGCTTGGAGTATTTATCCAGGATTGCGACAATTATAGCATTCCACAGCAATGTCTCCTGCCTTTGACTGCAGAAGGTAAAATTCACGCATTTATGGTTTCATTTCACTGTACCTTTTTTTAAAGCAATTCACAAACGACTGACATAAAATCTTGCCAGATAAGAGGAAAGTTGAAGCGATGTTACTTAGGTGTTATTTGCAAAGAGAAGTACCAAAATGGAGGTAGAATTTCATACCAAGTAATGTTAATGCCAACACTTATGGTCGGGTGCTGAAAATACTCTTACCTTCCTCCCCCTCTTTTACCCTCAAACTGAAGGTTTGAACTGGAGCTGCTGTTGCACAAAGGAGTTAAGTTTGAGATTGAAGCATTGTCTGTGCATTCACTCACTTTCTTGTCCCACGAGTATCTACCGTCGAAGATCCAAAGTGGAGGGTATATCTGAATCTTTTCTATTTTTGTTCGGTTCTTTGGCATGAAAAGTTCAGAGTAATTTTCATGTGCTTGAGTAAATCACTTGAAAGAACAAAGCTTTACGGTTGCCAAATTCATCATGTCCGTTCGTTTTGACAATTAAGTTTTTTCATGATGTGGTTCTGGATATAGAGCTACGAATGACAATGTGCATTGATGTTAAGCAGTTGGATAGTGAATGAAATTTGTCACTGTTTGTCATCCACAAAAACTTCGGCATTATTTGGAGAACCCAAGCCTTAGTGTCAAAATTTTAAATGAAGTTAAAAATAGTCGCTTTAGCTTGTTATGACAGTACATGTTGGTCCCTGCTTTGCACGGGAAAGTAAAATTATGAGTAAGTGTAGAGATAAACATGGACAATAATAAGGCATAGAAATTATGAGAGTGTAGACACACCTACACAGAGAATAAGGAATAATTTTTTTAAGAAAGATTTAAATTATATACATTGACAATGCAAAGAGTTTTTACATGAATTTTCATCTATGATAGCATGTTAGTAACTATTTATACCGATTTGTATATCAATGTTTATCGTGAGATTTATTTGTAATTACTTTATAAGTGATCTGGTTGTGTATTTTTTTTACATAGCTAATGTATTGAATTTAAGCTCAGAAAGTTTTTGAGTTATCCACGTCGAAAACCAAACACCCAGTAGGTTGAGATTGAGCCATTATTAAATTTCTTCTTCATGCAAAAAGAAAAGGTTAAACTGTTGTCTCACAGAAACCAATACATACTCAACCTATACGATTGAATTGCTAAAAGTTACTACTATTTATTTTTCAGAATCTAAATTTACATCTCACTTTGAACAACAATTCTTTGTCTTTGATCTTATTTTTAAAAAACTTGTTTGAGGGTTGATTTGCGGTAGTCACGTAATATAAGTTGATTCAACTTATGGAATGAATTAATTTTGGGTTGCAACTATTTTATCCCCTTAACTAATAGCGCCGCTAACTAATGCATCTAAATGTGGACAAGTTAGACAATTTGCACATTTATGTACAGCATGCAAGATGTGATAAATGATTGAATTGAAATTAAAACAAAGACCAAACAGAATATAATGAGAGTATTTTACTGAAAGTTTGAAACTTTCGACTTGTTGTTTGCTAACAGAGAAAATTTCAAAAACAACAATTTTGAAAGTCTACGATGATAAAAGACGGGGGTGGCTAATGACATAAATGAACATAAATAAGTGGGGAAAAAATTAAAGAGATCTAAATAAGGAAGTATCCTCCCGCATGTGTTAAAAAATATAATCTTGAATTGATATTTTCCACAAAGAAATAGAGCAAAGCATGTAGCTGAAGAACCCACAAAATATTATAAAATCTTGGTAAAGATTCGATTTAAATTACTCAAAACGAAGAGAACGTAGTACTTACCATGAAATGGCAATATAACAGCGGACTGATCGTCATTGGTGTCATTGGTTCTGTTATATAAAAATGGTAAGAAAATCTTTGATATAATTATTCGATTTATTTCTCATTTTGGTCACAGCGAACGTCGTCATAAACAAACTAGTTCACCCTCTACTACTTGTTTCTACTCGTTAATTTGTCCTCTCTTTTCTCATCAACTCTCTCAGTTCGTTTGATTATATTCAATGGAGCCCTTTGCTGAATTGGTATGTTTCACTTTCATTTAAAAAACAATCTACTGCTTTAGTTAGTCTGAAGCTGAAAGTTGTTTTTGCTTTAATTATTTCTTGAAGGGTTGTATTTTGAAAGTGGACGTGTGTTGCGATGCATGCAAGATGGAGACGGTGAATATTTTGAGTTCTATATGCGGTAATATATTTGCTTTTATTTCTATTGATCAACTCTGCTTCTCTTTCATGGATTGAAAGTATGATTTTGATGACAATAAAAACGACTAAGCTATCTGTCTGTATTAATATAACTTGATTTTTCTTCTTGTGTTGACCCTTGCATTAGGATTCTAGGGGATAAAGGCCATGGTTATGGCTCATTGAACTTGTAGAATTATAGAAGGAAAATATGATTAAGCCCGCTTCTTCTGCTC